ACACTCAACGAAACCAAAAACTGGTTCTTTGAAAAGATCGATAAAATCAGTAAGCCTCCAGCCAGGCTGATTAACAAAAACATAGTACAGCAAAGATTACTACTATCAGAAGTGAAAGAGGTACATCACTACATATCCAGTGGATATTAAAGGACAATAAAGGAATACTATGAACACCTCAATGCCTACAAATTTGACAATTAGAAATGGGCCAGTTTCTTGAAGAACACAATCTGCTAAAGTTTACATGAGAAGAAATAGAAACTGAATAGGTAAATATTTATTAAAATAATTGAATCAATAATTAACTTTCCAAAACAGAAAGTACTAGGCTCAGATGGATTCACTTTTGAATTCTATCAAACTTTTAAGCAAGAAATTATACCAGTTTTCTACAAATTCTTGAGAAGATATAAAGAGGGAGACTTCCTAATTCATTCTATTAGGCCAGCATTACCTTAATATCAAAACCAGATAAGATATTAGAAGAAAAGAAAACCACAGACACATATCTCTGATGAATATAAACAGAAAAGTCCTTAACTACTAGGAAATCAAGTCTAACAATGTATCATAAGAATTATACACCACGACCAATTGGGGTGTATTTCAGGTATGTGGCTGGTTCAGTATTTGAAAATTAATGAATGGAAACGTCACATAAACAGATTAAAAACCATATGATTATATGAATAGATGCAGAAAAAGCATTTGATAAAATCCAACACTCTCATGATAAAACCTCTCAGTGTACTTGATAAAGAATACCTACAAAAAACCTACAGCTAATATCATATTTAATGGTAAGAAATTCAAAGCCTTCTCACTAAGATCAGGAGCAAGGCAAGGATGTTCCTTTTTACCACTGCTGGTTATTAGGAACTGGAAGTCATAGCTAATGCAGTAAGACGAATAAAAGAAATAGAAGGCATACAGATTGGGAACAAAGAAATAAAGCTGTCTTTGTTCATAGGTGACATGATTGTCTATGCAGGAGATTCAAGAAAATCAACAAAGAAACACTTGCACTTGGACCTAAACATTATAGCAAGGTTGCAGTATTCAGTGTTAACATACAAAAGTCAATTGCTTTCCTATAGACCAGCAGTCAATGAACAAGTTGATACGTAATTAACAACAGAATAGCAAACCCCAAAATGAAGTACTTAGGTATAAATCTAACATACTATGTACAAGACCTATAGGACCAAAATGACAGAACTCCAATGAGAGAGAATCAAATAAGAAATAATTTGAGAGATATCCTTTGTTGATGGATAGAAAGACTCAATATTGTCAAGATGTCAGTTATTTCAAACTTGTTCTATAGATTTAACACAACCCCAATCAAAATCCCAGCAAGTTATTTTGTGGATTTTGAAAAACTGACTCTAAAATTTATATAGCCCTGGCCGGTTTGGCTCAGCGGTTAGAGCGTCAGCCTGCGGTCCGGAGAGACCCGGGTTCGGTTCCCGCTAAGGGCATGTGCCTCGGTTGCAGTTTGTCCCCAGGCCTGGTTGGGTCATGCGGGTGGCAACTACTCGATGTGTCCCTTTCACATTGATGTTTCTCTCTCTCTCCCTCCCACTCTAAAATGGAAAAATGTTCTCAGGTGAGGAAAAAAAAAAAAGATAGTAGACATATAGACCAATGGAACAGAGCAGAGAGCCAAGAAATAGATCATAAATATAGGCAACAGTTATTTGACAAAGGGACAAAGTCAACACAATAGAAAAAAATACTATTTTAAACAAATGATGCTGGAATAATTAGACATCCATCCATATGAAGAATGACTCTAGACATGTATCTTATGCCTCTTATGAAAATTAACTCAGAATGGATCACAGTCCTAATTGTAAAACATTAAACTACAAAATGCCTAGAGGATAAAATAGGAGGAAACCTACATGACCTTGGTATGGTGATGACTTTTTAGATAAAACACTAAAGGCACAATCCATTAAATAAATAATTGATAAGCTGAACTTAATCAAAATTAAAAACTTTTGCTCTGTGAAAGACAGTATCAAGAGAATGAAAGGGTTAGTCATAGACTGGGAGAAAATATTTGCAAAAGACACATATAATAAAGAACTGTCATCTAAAATATACAGAGTAAACAAGCAACCTGATTAAATAATGGGCCAAAAGCTTGACACCTGACCAGAGAAGCTAGAGAGGTGGCAAAAGATGTTGGACATCATATGTCATCAGGGAAACGCAAATTGAAGCAACAATGAAATACCACTGCACACTTATGAGAATGACCACATTCTAGAACATTGATAGCACCAAATGCTAGTGAGGATGCGGAGCAACAGGAACTCTTATTCATTGATGGTGGCAATGCAAGAGGGCACAGCCACTTTGGAAGACTGGCATTTTCTTATAAAACTAAATGTACTCTTGCAATCCCACACATTGGCATTCATTCAAGGGGGTTGAAAACTTTGAGTAAAAAGCCCACACACATGGGTATTTATAATAGTTTTATTGATAATACCAAAACTTAGAAGCAACCAAGATGTCTTTTATTAGGTAAATGGATAAAAAAAATGTGGTACATCTAGATAATGAAATATTTATTATTCAGCGTTCAAAAGAAATGAGCAACCAAGCCACAGAACGACATGAAGGAATCTTAAATGCATTTTACTAAGTGAAAAAATCCAATCTGGAAAGGCTAAATACTTTTGATTGTAATACTGTATAATATTCTGGGAAAGGAAAGACTATGATTATAGTAAAAAGATCATGGTGGTGCCAGGCACTTAGAATATTGTGGGCGCACTTTGTAAAGTATGTGATTGTCTAACCACTATGCTGTTCACCTAAAACTAACACAAAAATAATATAGAATGTAACCTGTGATTGTAAAATTAAAAAAGAAAAGTAAAGATCAGTGATTGCTAGGGTTGAGAGGGGAGAGAGGGATGAATAGGTGGAGCACAGAGGATTTTGACAGTGAACTGCTCTCTATGATACTATAATGGTAGATACATGCATGTCAGTGTATGTTTGTCCAAACCCATAGAATGTTCAAATGTGAAACCTAATGTAAACTGTGGACTTAGTGATAATGATGTGTCATTTTTGGTTCATCATTTGTAACAAATGCTCTTTTGTGGGGGGGGTGTTGCTAATGGGGGAGGCAATGTGTGTGTGGGGCTTGGGAGATAGATGGGAAATCTCTGTACTTTATGCTCAGTTTTGCTGTGAAAGTAAAACTGATCTAAAAAAAAGTTTATTAAAATAAAGTTAACCAGTGAGGTTTTTTTTTAAAGGGAATGACTTGAGCTCATTTATTGATATAAATGAGCTGTAATTGATATTTTTAAAGACACAGTATCATTCTTCACACAGTGAAGAACAATGGTGATGCAATATTTATTACAAGTGGGCTCTGAGATTGTCTTCCAAGTTGCTTATGCCCTTTTGCAAGTTTTTCTTACTGCTGATTTCTTAGGCTTTGCAGAAGCTGTACCAGAAGTTTTTCAGACAACTAAGATTCGTAATTTTTCTCTCAATTGCTATTTAAATGCCTTTTGGACAACAGAGTTAAGGATGTGCATTTGTCAAGTCTTTCTGTAGAAATAATAATCAAGTTCATGCATTCATGCAGTGACCACTTACGGTTGTTACTTGGCCAACAGTGACAGATGTATCTTCTTTGCAGAGATGTTACAATGTAAAAAAAAAAAAATTTTTATGTTAGAACTGGTGAATTATGGCAACTCAGAGTTACTCTGTACAATTAAAATAAATATTTAAATTAGCTTTTTATTAGAGAAAATATTTATTTTATTTTATTTTTATTATTATTTTTTAAATTAATTAATTTATTTTTGTTACAGATGTTTCTCCTTTTTTCCCCACTGATTCCCCCCTCCCCTTCTCTCCCCGCCCTGTCCCCAGCTTTGTTGTCCATGCCCATTGTTCATGCATACATGCATATAAGTTCTGTGGTTTATCTCCCCTCCTCCCCAACTCCCTCGTCTGGGAATTGTCAGTCTGTACCCCACTTCCACATCTCTGGGACTACCCCATTCCTCAGACTGTTATGTTCATTATATTCCACCAATAAGTGAGATCATATGATACTTGTCTTTTTCTGTTTGGCTTGTTTCGCTTAGGATAATACTTTCCATGTCTCTCCATGTCGTCTCAAAGGATAAGAAATCTTTCTTTCTTACAGCTGTATAGTACTGTGGTACATTGTGTATATGTACCACAGCTTTTTACACAGAAAATTAATTTATTGGTCTTTAAATTTTAGATGACTGCAACACTGTTTCTGGATTTGCTCTTCTTTTTAATTTTTTTTAATATGCTATTGATTTTTATCCTTGATTTCTAAAGTAATTTTTTTTTAATTTAATCCTAACCTGAAGATATGTTTGTATTGATTTTTAAAAAAAATATATATAGAGAGAGGGAGGGAGATAGATAGAAACATCAATGTGAGAGAGAAACATTCATCGGCTGCCTCCTACACAGCCCCTAATGGGGATCAAGCCCACAACCTGGGCATGTGCCCTGACTGGAATTGATCCAGGACCTCTCAGTCCATAGGATGAAACTCAACCCACTGAGCCATACAGGCCCAGGCTCATTGATTTTTAGAGAGAAAGTAAGGGGGGGAGAGAGAGAGAGAGATAAGGATGTTGGAAGAGAGGGAGGGGAGGGAGAGAGAGAGAGAGAGAGAGAGAGAGAGAGAGAGAGGAGAGAGACATTGATATGAGAGAAACATCGATTGGTTGCCTCCTGTGTGTGCCACCAGTGGGGATGGAACCTGCAACCTTTTTGGTGTAAGGAATGTTGCTCCAACCAGTTGAGTCACCCAGCCAGAGCCAGGACTAAAGTAATTTTTAATTTATTGTCTGTAATTGTGTGTTAAAGATCAACTGTGACCAATACACATTAATTGATGCTTTGGAATTTAAGTTCTTGATCATGTAAATTTCAGTTAAAATTTTTTTTGCTTTTTTTTTTGACAGGTTACAAAGACAGAATTAGAGAAATTAAAATCCAGCTATAGACAATTAATAAAAGAAATGAATTCTGCCAAAGAGAAATATAAAGAAGCTTTAGCTAAAGGTATGGCAAAATTATTTAAAAATGCTTATTTTAGTGATTTCTTTAAATTCTTATTGTTTGAATGCTATCTTTATAAATAAAGGAATGATTCCACTTAGACCAATTCACATTTTAAAAATACCAAAGTAAACCAAAATAGACTGATTTTGAAATTATGCAATAATTCTTCCTTAAAAAAACAAAAAATGATGCACACTATTTTTTAATAGTGCATGCTAAGTGGAATTATGTAGCACTTGTGTAATAGAATACAGGGAATGTTTGAATTTATCTCTAGCATCCGAGTTAATCAGTGAGTACTAAATAAGAAAAATAAGGTTGTGTTTGTTTAGAAGCTTTTTAAATCCCCTTTTTATCTATGGCACTGAAAAGCCTTTAAAATCACAAGGTCATTTTACAGCATTATTTTACCTTTGTAGCTTAATTTTATGTGTCTGTAGTGTTCCAAGATTTTCATTAGATGATTTGGAAGTAAATGTAAAGGGAAATTAATGTTTTAAACAGAGATTTTTGGTGATAGTCTTGAATTGTAGCTAAACAGTTTTCGTATTTTGATTTTTTTAAATTATAAAAGTTGGAATTTTAAAAATTTCTTTCTGCCTAAATATAATAGCCTTATTGGAAACTCTATTTTCTTTTGCCTTTTTAATGTAACTTCTCTTTTATTAATGTATTTTTTCTTCATCTTTTACTTGTGTATTATCTTGTTATTTTTGTAGGTAAATGAAATAAACAGCTTCTACATTTGGATGTATCTTGCACAGTGAAAACACTATTTTTGTTATTATTCTCAATAGACCAGAAGAGATACTGCTTTTGATGTAGTTTTACCCACCTCCCTCCTTTCTTTACTTTCTCCTCCCTTTCTATCTCCCCACCCACCTGAGTCCTCCCTGCTTCTTTCCCTTGTTCCTTCTCTTCCCATTTTTTCCCTTCCTTCTCTCCCTCACCCTTCCTCCCCTCCCCATCTTTACTCCAACATCTACCTTGTGCTTCCCTCACACCTCACATACTTATTTCATGTTTCTGCCTCTCTCAGTATTTCTCTTGCTTTTTTAGGGAAGATGAATCATGTTCACAGTTTCCTTATTTTTCCTTATCTTCCTTATTTTTTGTGTACCTCATCCAATAATTTGAGATTTATGATCTCTTCACTAATGTAAACATCTCTTTTAAAATGCTTTTGTAATTTAACTACCTGTTATTTAAGTGAAGAAAAGAATAAATCGTCTAGACTTTGGAGTCAGATAGTCTTGGATTAAATTCCAACATTGTGTGACTATTGTAGATTTTTAAACTTCATATTCAAACCTAATTACTATCCCTTTGTTATTTTAAAGATTGCTTTAGATAATCAAGAAGTATTTACTGAGCACTTTCTTTCTTTAAATTATTGCAATTGAAACAGTATTTCCTAGGCATTCAAGGAGCTTACCCATTTCTAGTTGATATTCTAATTTGGGAACTCTAAGTCTAATCGTCTTTCAAAATTTAGCTTTTATACAAAGGATACTTTGCTAAATCATCAAAAGTAGTTTATAAGTAGTTTTGTACATTTAGCATTACTACTCAGTCTATCAAAATAGTTAATTTTACAAAGTTCATGCCTGGCTAGTATTCTCAAATTAGTGCCCTATATTATAAACAATCATATTTAAATTCTCCCAGAGCTAGTGATGACTTAATCCAATTGTATTATTGTTACGGAAAAGACTCAGATAGAACACCGGAGGAAGCGAAGAGGTTCCTTTATTCATGCATGAGGACCTGGAGGAGGCAGTCTCCAAATTCTGGGCCCCCTTGTTGTAGGGCTTGCCTAGCTTTATAGCAGGCTGGGTGGGGCATTCTTTTGGTGAGAAAGCGGTGGGTGGGGCATTCTTTTGGTGAGAAAGCTTAAGCAACTTATAGAAGCAGGCAGCCAAAGGGGTCATGTCATTTCTAAGATGGTGGCTCAATTACAATGTCGGTTTAGTTCCTCTGTCATTATAATCCAACTATGCTAAGTATTTCACATTAGATCTGTATCTGTTGGAGAATAATTAGTTAGGAAAAGAAATGCATAATTACTCCCAAATCTTGATACCTATTTTTAGTGATATTGTTTTATTTTTATTTAAAAATTGAAATCTAATTTTGATGTCATAATAAAGTTTAAAGTAGTTCTTGTACCTAAGGTTTATATTATCAAAGATTATCACAGATGATAATTTTTCTTTATTACTTTGGGTCCAGATAAAACACTGTTTAGTGTTTTATTAACAGTAGGAAGGCAAACAGCAAATTTCAAGATTGTAGCTTTAATTGGTATTAAGTGGTGTGTTACTTGATTGAATTTCCTGTGTTAAAATATGCAAACTTATTTACATTTCTCTTTCTAAAGATATTAATAATAGTAGTTTCCTATTTTCAAGAATTTGATATCTCCCATTATATCAATTTATAACCTGTTGAATATATATTTTAAAAATAATTTCTTTTGTAATTGTGTTTTTATGCATAAGGCATAAGTATGTTTTTCTTCTATATTAAAACCAATTGAAACTTGTATATACTCATGTTTACATGTAACAGTATAAAGTTATATTTCTGAAAACTTTGTTTCTGTTTTCAGACTGTGTCCATGTTTAACATGGAAATAGTTCTTTTGTGAAGTTATTTAGTCACTGTAAAGATAATGTGATGTCAAATTTTCCAACATTTGCAGGCTTTATGTCAGAACCTTAGTTCATCTGGACAAACCGGGGCACTGTGGAATGATCCTGGGCGCTGTTGGGGTGCAGACCCAAACTATGGCTCTGGCATCCAGAGATTACTTTAAATTTTAGGAGGTCTTGGGAAAGGTATTTTAAAATACCAGTCTGACGTATAGCAACCAGCTGGAGAAGACAAAGGCTTTGAGATTTACAAGGCCTGGAAATAATTCTTATAGTAAGGGTTAAATTCTGGATTTGATGGAGAATGGGTTCTGAGTCAGTAGCAGCAGATCGGCAGGAAAGCTGAGTTAAAGCTAAAATTTCAAACTCCTGACCCCTGCTGGATGGATTACACAAAATACTTTCAATTTTGAATGTTAGAATTCATATCCAATGGGACCTTAGTTTACATTCAGTCTAAAATAAAAACTCATTTGCAATATGAATGTAGAATTTTAATTACTTTTTTGTAATATATCTTAAATATTGAACTTGTTTTTAAGTGTGCTGTGTTGAGGGAACAGATGTTTGTATTAAATTGAATTGTACTAATTTGGACATTAGTCTATTTTTTGGCTGTATATATCTATTTATTGACTATTTCCTAGACATTAGTCTATGGATTATTATTTACAATATGTGCATGGAGAACAACCATAATAATTGTAGCTTATTGAGCTGAAGTTAGTAATTTATATTGTTATTTGATAGCAGTATTAAGTTTTAGAACAACATGTTCTTGAATTAAAATGCACAGGTTTTATTTTTCTATTATAGATTGAGTGCTGAACATCTTAGTTGGTTAAACACATGGTTTAGCAATTCACAAAACAACTTTTGTGAATCCATATAAATTGCATCTGAAGTAGGGTTCTTTTTTTTTATGTGTTTTTATTGATTTCTTTAGAGAGAGAGGAAGGGAGAGAGAAATAGAAACATTGATTGGCTGCCTCCTGCATGCCCTCCAATGGGGCATGTGCCCTGACCAGGATTTGAACAGAGACCTCTCAGTCCATGGGATGACGCTCAATCCACTGAGCCACGCCGGCCAGGCTGAACTAGGGTTCTGACATAAATGCCTGTAGATGTTGGAAAAATTTGCCATATTATCATCCTTATAAAAAGTAGATGACTACCCAAAAGAACTACAGGATTGTGATGTCTATGAATAAAGAGTTTTTTCCTTTTCAATCTGGATGTCTTTTTTTTCCTTTAACTTGTTCATTTTCCTAGGTAGAACCTCCAGTACAATGTTGAGTAGAATCAGAAAGAGCAAGTGTTTGCCTTGTTCCTGAACTTGGGAGAAAATCTGTCACCATTAAGTATGATGTTAGCTGTAGTTTTTCAAAGATTTTCTTTTTTATTAGGTTGAAGAAAATACTTTCTATTCATACTTTAGAATGGATGTTGAATTGAATTTTGTCAAATGCTTTCTTTGTATCTATGGAGATGACATTTTTTTCTTTTTTTGGTTTAATGTGGTTAATTATTTTGATTGATTTTTACATTTCAAATATTACAACAGCCTCACATTCCTGGATTGACAGCTTCTCTTCCTTATGATGTATTATTGTAAAATTAAATTTATTAATTTTATTAATATTCTCAATTTTTTATATTGTTGGATTTGGCTGGCTACTTTTTTTTGTTTATAATTTTCATCTTTTTCTTTTTTTCTTGTAATATCTTTGTCTAATTTTTATATGCGGCTAATGTCCTCTGAATGATGACTTCCTTTTCAATTTTCTAGAAAGATTTGTGTTCCACAGGTAATATTTCTGAAATATTGATAGAATTTACTTGTGAAGGTTTTAAAGTTGTAAATGCAGTTTCTTTACTTGATGTAGGGTTATTTGGTTTATCTTTTTTTGTTTGAATTTTAGTAGATTACATATTTTAAGGAGTTGGTTCATTTTATTTAAGTTGTTGGATTTATCGGTATTAAGTTTATATAATACTCCCTTATTCACTTTTTTATGTTTGCAGAATTTGTGGTGACATTTATTTTCTCATTATTGATATTGGTACTTTGTGTCTTTCTTTTTTTTCTAATTATTTTGGCTAGAAATTTATTAATTTTATTAATATTCTCAAATGTCAGCTTTTGGTTTTATTTCTTTTGTGAGGGTTTCTACAGCATCCTTTGACTGACTGGCTGCTTGATTTCACTTAGCATATTACCCTCTAGGTCTATCCATGCAGTCAAAATGGCAAGATTTTATTCTTCTTTATGGCTGAGTAATATTCTATTGTGTATCTACATCATGTTCTTTATCTCTTCATCTGTCGATGGAAACTTAGGGTTGC